TATAATATACAAGTTTCACTTTTTAAATGGAATTACTGAAATAAATCTACTTTTTCATGATATTCTAATTTTATGACCAGCACCTGTATATGGATAGTATTTATTTTTTTTACAATAACAAGCTGGAATGAAAACAAGCAAAAATGAAATACAAATACCGACTTTCTACTTCTTGCCTTTTTAAAAAAAATGTAAGGAGTAGAAAGTACAGATAACTGTGTGAAAATGTAACAAGTAGAAGAAAAAGGTAGGCTGAAAAATAATTACTCAAGTAAATTACAGATACCCCAAAATTCTACTTACTGTTAAGTACAGTAACGAAGTATTTGTACTTAGTTACTTTACAACTCTGCTCCCGTTTTACCATCAGGTTTATCTGTGTGTATGTGTTGTTCAGTGAAAACAAAGAATACACTAATGGTGTTAACAACGTTAAAATAATTGAAATATAATTGAATTAAACCTCGGCTTTAAAGCGATGACGTGCTGAGCACTAAAAATTTGCAATAATTAAATTAAAATGCAGTACATTTTCAGTAACTTTCATTTCCATTCATCTGTGTATTTCTTAAAATGTTTGTTTCGTGAGATTACAACAACTATACTTTTGTGTGTGTTCCACTTCCACCGCCCTTGTTACCATTGTTTCCATCCACAAGCACATTAATAGTTGATCAAATCAAGTTTAAAGTGAGGGAAAAAACAGTTTTAACCTCTTCCATCACAACACTCTCACCCCCTCCAGAATCACAAGAAGCTATAGATGTAACTACAGAGTGCTCAGCACGCTGGCTGGTTCACCTGTTTCTGCAGAGCATCACGTAGAGCCTTATCTATGAACCTGGTGAAGAGATCGTACAGCCAGCTGAAACACACATCAGTCACAGATATAAGGACACGGCAGCTTGTTTAGATTAACACATTACAATTATGAAGCCGTTCATTTTATAATTTCCTCTTACCTGGCTCCACCATGGAATTTGATTTTGGCAGAGCCAACACTGGCCGCACAGCTGGTAACACTGACTGTAGGCCGGCCCGTCTCATCACTTCTGACAGCAATACTTGTAGTGATTGTAAGCCCATTGACATTCAAATCAAAAGAGCCACTGTCCTTTCTGTTAAGAGAGAGATAAATGTCAATGCTAAAAGAAGGAAGTAATTACAATCTGTAAAAAGAGCTTTACTCACAACACAAGGTACTTGATCTTCCAGTTTCCTTGCATACTGATGAAGGCATCACCAATGGTCAGCTTGACTCCAGACCCTGGCACGAGATCTATTGCAGACCTCGGTAACCCCACATTTACTACATGTATCCTGGAAGGAACATAGATGTTTGGACATATATTTCTCCCAGTTTTTGATGGAATTCAAAGTAAAAAAGCTAGTGCCTTACTTTGACAAACAATACTTTACTTTGCCAACGACCACTCTCTCAGTCCCAGAGAAATCTGGGATTTTGACGTTTCTGAGTTCCTGCTGAACATAAGCAATGCCCAATTGTCTGCCTGAAAGAAGAGAAGCCACATCGAATGAAGATACCAAAACCCTGGAAAGTTGATGTGATGTCTGCCAAGTCACCTCTAATGGATGCAATTTTACTTTTTCCTTTTATTCTAATGGAAATCAGACACCAGCAAAGAAAAAAAAAACAGCTACCTTCCTCAACAAGCATTTCCTACTGATAACCTTGAAATGATGTAAACCCTTTGTTTCAGATTTCTGAGCCTGGACAATGTTTTTGTTTGTTTTTTGTTTGCAGGTAAAGCCATGAAAACAAATGCCTGACAGTAAAAAGACAAACAATAGTGTTGTAGCCATCTTTTCTGTTTCAGCAACAATCCAGGGTCAGCCCAAAACCATAAATATAATGTTTAACTTATACTTTCAACAACTTTTTGTGAGAATCTCAGACTGCAAATCTGAAACTAAACTAAATATAATCTATAGCAGAGGAGCCCAAAGTGGGGCCCGCGGGCCAAATTTGGCCCACCAAGCCATTTGATTTGGCCCATCAACAGTTGCCAAAGTTACAAGGTTGTAACCTGTTATCCTATGTAGAAACAGAGTGAAACATGAAATGACAACAAAAAATATTTAGATCAGATTTAACCCCACATGTAGATTTTCTCACTTTATATGACCACAAAACCTCACATTTTATCAATTTATGAAATGTCCCATGAGCCTTTGCTACTTGAGGGTATGGCAGACTTTCTCCAAGTGCACAGACTAAAACAAAAGAGGGCCATTGCATAGCTTAATTGTTAAAAATAAAGGATTTTAC